GCGGGGGGGCTCGCATCGGGAGAGGCAGGGGTGTGTGTGTGGTGCTGGGGGTATAGACGCGCCTGCACGAGCGTGCCCGCGGCCGGCGACGCGAGCCAGACCGTCTCTCCGACGGCAACCTCGGACGCCTGCTTGAGCGCCTTTGCCGGGCCGGCGGGCAGCTTGTGCGTCGAGGTGAGCGTGACCGTCGCCGTCGCGGTGGCGAGCGAGAGGAAGGCCGCCTTGGCGGACGGGTCGGCCAGCGAGAAGGAGGAGACGACGTCGAAGCCGAGGGTGCCTAGTAGAAGCAAGCGACTGTGAAACAGATGAAACGCTCTCACACGGCATCGAAAGCGAGGGTGCCGTCCGCCGCCGCCGCGAGGATCGAGTCGCCGGCGGAGAGGGAGGAGAGGGGGGCGGTAGCGCCGTCGGCACGATGCACCGTCGCAGAGCTTGGGAAGCACGGCGGGTCCGTGGACTGCGGCTCCACGTCAGGTGGCGACATTGGTGGCGGCGGCGTGGGCGGCGGCAGCGACGGCGGCGAGGACGGCGGCGCTATCCTGAGGTGCGTCGAGTCGGGAGGCTCCTCCTCCTCTTCAGCGAGGCGACGGGACGAGGACGCGAGCGTGCAACCCGTGCCGCTGTAGTGGGTGCAGGTAGCGCCGCGCACCTCAAACCCGCAGACCGTGTCGTTGTTACTCGCATAGTCGCAGCACTTGCCGTCGTTGTGCCTGTCGAACCGGCTCGTGTAGCCCGCGATGGTCCCGCTAGAGTAGCGACTGACGAAACCGAGACACGAGAGTGGGGGCGGCGCGAGTGGCGGCGGCGAGGGCGGCGGCGGTGAGGGCGGCGGCCGCACGGGCGGTGGCGGCGATGACGGCGGTGATGGCGGCGGTGGAGACGGCGGCGGCGGCGGGGGCGAGGATGGAGGCGACGAGGGCGGCGGTGAGGGCGGCGGCGAGAGCGGCGGCGAGGGTGGCCATGAGGGCGGCGAGGGCAGGGAAGGTGGCGGCGGCGGCGACGGCGACCCGGGCGCGACCAGGACTCGCACCCCCTACACGCATGGGGAGGAGGGGGGGGGGGGGGCTAGAGCTCGTGCTTAGAGGCGGGTGTCGCGCTGCCGCCTCCATGCGAGTGATCGCTGTGTGTGCCTGTTTTATTAGGCAGGCGAGTGGGGGCGGGGGCGGTCCCATCTCTCCTGTGTACGGGTGTTGGCTGTCTCTCCTGACTGCCTGTCTCTGTCCGGGAGGAATCTCGAAGCGAAGAACGGTGTCCATGTATGGTGGCTGTGGGTGGTCGCGAACGACCGGTATTTGAGGTATGTGTGCTGTGTGGTCGCGAGCCTGAATTGCCCACGACTCGTCATTGGCAGGTTGGTCCAGGGTTGTGCTGATGCGAAGCCGCAGCCATTGGCCGTCATCGCCAGACAAAGACGCCTGGGCAACCAGCGGGAGTTCCATCCAGTCGTCATAACCATTCCCGCAGTCTGTCGATATTCGAGACGGAGCCGGGTTTCCAACCTCGGGAAGAGGTTGGAAAGACAGCGCGAGCTCGCCGTTGAGGTAGATCTGGACCTCCTCCTTCCTGTCCCACGAGTCGAAGGCGAAGAAGCGGAGCTCGACGCGTACGGTGCCTGCAGGGGGAGTGAGGGTGTGCGAATGTGCGAGTTAGAGCGTCGCGTGGAGACTGTTATACGACTGCTTGTGTCCTCTCGAGCGCCAGTCTCGGAAACTAAGGACCGGTTCCGCATCTAGTGGGGCGGTGCCGTAGGACGGTGCGGCGCTTAGGTCGAACTCCCTTTCGAGGTACGCGTCCTTGCCGAGAGTTTTCGGTGCGGGGAAAAACCGATACGACGCACCCGGGGACGCACCCGGGGGCACTTTCCGGTGGCACCCCCCGGGGGCGAGGTTCTGGACGTTGCTCGTCCAGCTCCCCGCGTCAGCGAGAGGAGGCCAGAAGTCACTTGCGACCAGAGTGAAGCCCGGCATGGCCGGTGGCGGCTGTGGCGGAGCGGCCGGCGAGGGCGGCGGCGAGGGCGGAGGTGGCCGTGGCGGCGGCGTCGAGGGCGGCACGGGGCGGGTTGGCGGCGGCTGCAACGGCGGTTGCGGCGGCGGCGACGGTGGCGGTGCGGGTGGCGGCGGCGGCTGCGGCGGCGGCGGAGGCGAGTCCGGCGGTAGCGGCGGCGGCGATGGCGACGGCGGGGAGGGCGGAGGGCGGGGCGGCGACGCGGGCGGGCTGGCCACCAGCACGTAAACGTTGCAAGAGGGGTTGCGAGTGGGCGAATTGTCGTCGCAGATGGTGCAGTCGGTGCTCTCGCGGCAGAAGCTGAAGTATAGCTTGTCCGCTTTTACTGCTGCCCCCGCGCAGGCTTCCCAGGGTGGTCCTGGCTCGTCTTGGAGAGGGACGACCTCCCCGGTGCAGATCGAGTTGCTGTACAGCAACTCTGCTGCTGGCGGCGGTGGCGGCAATGGAGGCGATGCTGGCACTGGTGACGACGGCGGCAAGGGACTAGGAGGCGGTGGCGTCGGTGGCGGACGAGGCGGCATCCCGGGGACGGGCGGCGGTGGCAGCAGCAGCGGCACGGGGGGAGATGGGCAGTCCGGGCCCGCGCATCCGTTAAAGAAGTCCAGGTCCGGCAAAAGGGGCGGCGGCGGCGGGAACGGGGGCGGCGGCGGCGGCGACGGGGGTGGCGAGGGCGGCGGGGGCGAGTGCGGCGGCGGGGGTGGCGAGGGCGGCGGGGGCGAGGGCGGCGGCGGAAGCGGGGAAGGGCACTCAGTGAGGCCTAACGGAACTTCCTCGGATGAGCCGTCGCAGTCCCCGTCGCTCAGCGCACAGAGGCGTGTTGTATTATCGACTTGGGTAACGTCATAGTACAGTGCGCACTCCTCCTTGGTTATATTCGGCGCATTCGAGTTCAGATCATAGCAGTCGTCAACTTTGATGCGACATTCATACGGAGGAAGCGGCGACGGCGGCGGCGGCGGCGGCGGCGGCGGCGGCGCTGGCGGCGGCGAAGGCGGCGGAGGCGCCGGTGGTGGCGGCGTGGGCGGCGGCGGCGTCGCCGGCGGCGAAGGCGGCGATTGAGGCGGCGGAGGCGCCGGTGGGGACCCGGGTGGCGCCGGCGGCAGCCCTGGTGGCCGAGGCGACTGGGGGCTTGCTGGCGAGAGAGGCGGAGGAGAGTTGGGCGGCGGAGGCGATGGCAGCGGCGAAGGGGACGGCGGTGGAGGTGCGTGTGGCGGCGGCTGCAACGGCGGTTGCGGCGGCGGCGACAGGGGCGGTGCGGGTGGCGGCGGCTGCGGCGGCGGAGGCGGCGACAGAGGGGATTTGGGCGGCGATACATAGCCGGGGCTGAATGGAGGCAACGATGGGGGCGACGGCGGCGGAGGCGGCGACGGTGGCGGCACGGGGGGAGATGGGCACGGGTAGAAGCCATCCGGCAAAGTATCGTCTGTGTACTGCGATGTTTCGAGGCCGTCGCAGGGTGATCCCCCACAGAAGCGCCACTTTTGAGGCGTGGGCGGATCAGTGGACGGATCTTCCGGCAGGATGTCGAAGGACGCGTCACATTTCGTCGTGCTCGCGTTGATTGAGAAGCAATCCTGCACAAAGGTGCGACAGGGAAGCGGCGGCGGTGGCAAAGGGGAAGGCGGCGGCGGCGGGAACGGGGGCGGCGGCGGCGGCGACGGGGGTGGCGGTGAGGGTGGGGGCGGCGAGGGCGGCGGCGGCGAGGGTGGAGGCGGCGGCGGACCCGGAGGAGGCGGGAAGGGTGGTGGCAGCGACGGGGGTGGCGGTGAGGGTGGGGGCGGCGAGGGTGGTGGCGGCGGCGGCGGCGGCGGAGGCATTGCTGGCTGCGGCGAAAGCGGCGGCGGCGTCGCCGGCGGCGAAGGCGGCGATTGAGGTGGCGTGTCGGGTGGCAACGCAGGCGGCGGAGGCGCCGCTATTGCGCCAATTGCTACGGGGCTCGCCGGAAGCGCGATGACGTCTGGCAGCGCGGTTGAGGATGCGACAAGCGCGGCGCCGATAGTGACGGTCACCAAACTGCCAGCGACGGTGGCCAAGCAGAGAAGGACGCTGAGCAAGCTGGACCAGCCGAAACGTCGGGCCTTTGAGTTGCGGCGCCACATCGCCGTGCCGGCGGCGACCGCGGCGGCGACCTTCGGCGGACCCGCCGCGAGCCACGAGAAGGCGCTCGCGAAGAAGCCGGCAGGCGCCGCCGCCGCGCTGGTGAGGCACGCCGTGGCGGCAGCGAGGCAGGTGGCCCACACCGCGCCGCGAGCCCCCTTTCCGCTCGCCGCGGTCGGCCAGGAGGCGCCGCAGGCGATGGCGAGGAGGATGAGCACGAGGGCGGGCACGAGAAGCGGCGAGCAGCTCACGAGCGAGGACGCCTTCGAGGCGACGGCGGGCGAGAAGGCCGAGGACGCCGCCGAGGCGACGCCGGATGAGAAGGTAGAGGACGCCGACGAGGCGACGGCAGACGAGAAGGCCGAGGCCACCTCCGTCGGGCTAGGCACGGCGGGCGCGCAGTGGCCGAAGGCGGGTATGCAGACGAGGAGCAGCCACCGGAAGGCGCCCTCGGCCTTCGTGTAGCCGCCCCGCACGCAGTCGGCCGCCGCCTTGAGGCCGGCGCGACCGCCGGCGCCGCATGTGCCAGCGACGGCGCCGCATGTGCCAGCGCCGGCGCCGCACGTGCCAGCGGCGAATGGCGCCTTGCCGGACGTGGTCTGCGGCTCGCGGCGCCGGTCCGGCGACTTGCAAGGCGGCGTCTGCGGCCCGCCGCGCGGCTTCGGTCGCCGGTGCGAGCCGCGGCCGCGGCCCTTTGCCTTGCCAGACTTGCGCCTGCCCCCTGCCTTGCCAGACTTGCGCCTGCCCTTGCCAAACGTGGGGTTGTTGCGGCAGCGCATGGCCTTGCGCCGGCACTTGCACCCGCACCCCGACCGCTCGGCGTCCAGCTTCGCCCGCTGCATCTTGGTGAGCAAGATCGCGGCCATCGCCTTGTCGCGCACGGCGAGATAGTACTCGCGTGACGCGGCGTCGGCCTGCCCCGCGCCCGCGACCGCGCCAAGGGGCTTGGGCGCCACGCCGAAGGAGGTGGGGACTCCCGGCGACGGCGACTTCTTGCCGTCGGCGGGCGTAGCCTGGTAGACGACGCTCTCGCCCAGCCGGCGGACTTCGGCCTCGACGCCGTCCACGTAGCCCGGTCCGGAGCCGCTGCGGGCCGACGCGGGCCCGCTCTTCCCCACCTCCTTCGGCGTGGGCAGGCCCGGGTGGCAGGTGGTGTCCTGCAAAGCGCGATAGGGGCACACGGGAAGGGAGATTATTACCGGTGGGAGAGCGAGGAGTGCCAGGAGAGAATGCTGCGGCGCGCTCACCGCTGGGTCAGGCGTGTTGGAAACGGTCTTGGCCGGCTTCTCGACCTCCTTGGCAGCCTCCTCGGCGACGACCTCCTTAGCGACGGGCGCCTCCTCGGCGACTGCCTCCACGGCGGCGGACACCTCGCCGGCGGCGGACTTGATGGTCGCCTCCTCGGTGGCGGCCTTCTCGGCGACGACGGCCTCCTCGGAGACGGCCTCCTGAGTGGCGGCCTCCTCCTTCACAACGACGTCGTTGTTGACGCCGCACGCCTGAGGGAGAAACGTAAAATGTTTGGAGACGGGGACACCGCAGGGACAATGCCGATCCTGGCGTAAAAGTGCGCACCTCAGCTCCGAGGAGCGAAGGCGGCAGCGACGTGATGCCGGCCTTGACGGAAGCCGTTGGCCCGAGCTCGGTCTGAACCTGGGCCCCCTCCTCAGGCGCGAAACAAAAGCTGATTGGCACCTTTGCGAGGCTCCGATGGAACACGTGGGGGTTGTCGAACCAGACGCCCCTTGTTGATCTCACAACCAAGAAAGCCGACTCGCCCTCGCTCTCATTGAAGTCGACCATGTAGCGCCTTCTCGGTTCGCGTCCTGCAGAGCAGACAGAATGGGTGCCGTGAGCGGAGTGCGACAAAGCGCCAGCATCGCGGAATGGCATTGGGCGGAGAGGTGTGCGAACAGCTATGCGCATGTGTGGGGTCTGAAATGAGAGGGGAGTGACGGGGGACAAAGCTCGGACGTTGAGCCTGCGGAGGGCGGCGCAACGAGGGAGCGGGCTCAGGCTCATGTTGCGGGCGAGTGATGCAGGCGACGACGCCGGAGAATGAAGAGAGGCCGCGCGGACGAGGGCGAGGTCGAGGGCAAGGGCGGCGGCGGCGGTGGGCTTAACGGGGCGGCAACGCAGCGGCGCACCGCACTCTCGTCCGCGATGTCCGTGTAGCACTCGGTGGTCGCCTGCGACAAGCCGAAGTTGTGGCCGCCCTTGTAGGCCTTCGAGCAGGGACGCGCAGCAGGTACGCGCAGGGCCGAACGGCGTGTCCAGGAGCATAAGTAGCATGATGTTGATGTACGTGATGCTGATGGTGGTGGTGGTGGTGACGATGACGATGATGACGATGATGACGTATGAGCATCATCGCGACGTGCCGGATCGCGTCGCGGTACATGCTCTCAGCGCCTCCGACGACTGCTCCGCACGACGGGTGATGTGTGTGTTTGTCCGCACGACGGGGGATGTGTGTGTTTGTGCGTCGGTGGAGAGGTGTATGCTACGAGTGGAGGGGCGCAGGCGCTCACGAGCAGCGTCGATGCACCTCGCACCTACTCACAGCGGACGCAGCTTGAGGCCTCAGCGTCGCCACGCAAGAGGCCGCGGCGCTTCCCTCGCCCACGTTGTTGGATCTGCGCAGGCGACGGCGGACGAGCGTCAGCAGCACAAAGTGGGATGAGCATGGTGTTGGCTTGTTTTGGGGGTCGCGGGGGCGCAGTAGGCATGGAGGCGACCCGCGGAGCGCTCCGACCGCGAGACTCGGATTGAGCCGCTCGCACGGCGGTCGCAGCACGGCGTGCAGCCGGGCTCGCTTCAGTGGTGGTTGTGGGGCGAGGCGGGGTACGCGCGGTGGCAGCTCTCATCTCGGCTGCGTCGCGCCGGGCGAGGGGAACCGAGCGGGACCTGGAATCTCTTGTGACCGAGCTGACGCTTTTGGCTGGCGATCAAAACCGGCGCCCTCGACCGACGGCTTGGTTGCGGTTCCTGCTTGCGATCACAAAACAGGGTCTCGACAAGTTTCAAGAAATGTGTGGAGAGAATGTGTGGTGTTCGTGACCCGTGTTTCCTTTATGGCCCCTGCCCTGCGAACGCGCACCCCCCCAGCGCCCAGGCAGCCAGGCTCTGCTCCAGTGGTGGGGGCGCGGTCTTCTGATAAATGGGGCGCGACAGCTTCTAGGAAGGAAGCCGTCGCCTGCGCCTTGTGAATCGTGCTGTGATGTTTCACAAAAAAGGTCCTGTGAGAAGAAAAGCCCAAACCTCGGCCTGCATCTCGCTAGAGACGTCATCCCCAGAGATAGGATCTACAAGGCGGTAGGTCCCGTGGTTCGCACGGCGCGCCGCTGCCGCACGCACACGGACCGTCCTCACGCCCGCTGCTGCACATTGACCAACCATACTGTACGCACCGCGCGAAGCGGCATCTATCGTGGGAAGGAGGCCTCGCCTCTCTGCTAGCACGACAGTGGCGGCGTGTCTGCGCCTTGCACCACTCGTGTGTGCACCTCACACCTGGCCGTGGCTTTCGCAGGCGCCCAGCAGCCGCTCGGCAGCCACCGCGTGATGCACCACTTCCTCGAATTTCCCTACTACGACTTACCGCTCTCCAACGAGGTGCTTCCTCTTCCGCTCGTCGACCCTGGTGCTCTTCGCGCTGCTGGACTTGAAGTAGGAGCGCACACGGTGAGCAAAGACGGGAAGCTCTTTGTAACGACCTACCCCGACATCTACTCCTTCGCGCTGTGGGCCTCCGTCAGCCGCTACTTAGCTGCCTTTGGCATCAATGTGGCGGCCGAGGTCCCGTTCCAGGCCGTGGCGCAGGACGACGGAACGCCCGGCTACAACGAGCCACAGCCCGTGTCGGTCTATGGATCTTCGAACGGCGACGGTTTCATGATGCTGTGGCTCGGCTGCCGCTGCTCTTGGCCAGTGACACAATTGATGTGGTACCAAGCCCTCGGCTGCCAGCTGCATGCGTGGGCCGCCGTCGTGGTCGCAGTGCTGACACTCATCCTCCAGATCATGCTCCTCGACGGCTTCCTCTCGCAGATGGTGGGTCAGGCATCCCACCCCACCGGCACCACAGCCTCACTACCAAAACGTAGCGCGTGCTGATATCGTGGCGTGTGTCTCGCAGGCCCCGCACCTTCCTCGCAAACTCTTGATCAAGGCGGAGGAGGACCTCCTCGGCTACTCATGGCAGCTCATGGAGGTTATCGTGGTGCCGCTGCTCATCCTCCTCTATGTCATCGTGAGGTATTTTGGGTCGAATTGGACCCATGCATACTTCTTACTGATGTGCGAGTGGTGCTGCGATAGGGCTGCCTCACATTGAAAGAAGGCTGCCGCTGAGTCGCCGTTGTTCTATTACAGGACTCTCGCGAACCGCTACGAGGGCCAAACCTACGCCTACTTCACCGTCGCCTTCTGGTCGGTCATCCTGACCATCATGTACATCATAGAATTCGCGTATCTTGCTCTGTTGTACCCCCTTTACATCGTCAGCGGCGCGTCTGGCAACGTGCTCCAGGTGCGCTCGCGCGGGCGTTGCTTATCGCGGCCTTGGGGAGATGGGGGAATAGCTTGGCCCTCTCACCCAATACTTTTGTGTTGGGGCATTTAGCTTGCCTTCCCTTGCGCGCTCCAGGACGCCGTCGGCGTACTCGTCATTTTTGGGATCTTTGACAGCTTCCCTGGGCGCGCATTCAAATGATCATGCCCGCGTGGCGCGAGCCCGCGCCCAGCCCCCCCCTTCTTCACCCCCCCCCCCCCCCACACCTCCCGCAGATTCGCTTTCCAGTTCGTCATGTTTGTGGGCTGCCTCGGCTCCTTGCCGCTCCCCAGTTATCTCACCACGTACGTCGTCGGCATGCGGCAGCCTGTCTTTGACCGCGCTCTCGAATACGCCTGTCTGTGGTGGAAGCTTGCCGTCGGCGTTTTGTTGATCTACATCCTGCCGGAGAGCACTTGAGCCGGCGCTCGCCACGCCACGCTGGCGTCGCATTACTACTCACGCCATCCCCTCTTGCTTCGTAGCACTACTTCTCCACCCTCGTCCTTTGGGTCGTGCCGATCTCGGCCGTCTACTCCGAGATCTGCTTAATGGCCATCCCCCGCCCCGCCGCCAAGCCCTCTCTAAGCGCAAAGCCCCCGTCCCCTCTCCACTGACCTCGAGCGCGGTGCTGACCTGCTGTCAGGCCATCCCCTGGTGTATGGAGGGCCCATCAGCTTGCCCGCCGCACACCGGACCATGCCTCTCGCTCATCAGCATCGGCACTACGCTCGTATGCATCTTCCTGTTTGTGCTGCGCTACGGCTGCTTCCTCTTCCCGTGCGTCTGCGCGCCCGAGGTATGCCCGGCTGGCTCCCCCCCCTCACGCACCCGCTCTTCACGCCTCCAGCCGTGCACAGGTGCCCGGCTGGCTCGCCTTCCCGCCCTCGAACGACCTGTTCTCGCCGCTCGGCGAGACGTGGCAGACGTGGGGCTTCAAGTACTGCACCCTCTTCGTCCAGCGCGTCGTCGGCTTGTGGAATGGCGCCGACTGGCCGCAGGATTGCGCCATGGAGCCGGACGCGAGCAACTACGCATCGTCCACAGACTCGAGGCAATTTGCGGCATCGGTGGGCAAGGCGCTTGCCGGGCACGACGCAGCCGTCGAGGAGCTGCGCGGGATGATCGAGCGGCAGTCCGCGCAGGCCGCGCGGCAGGCCGCGCAGGCCGCGCAGCAGGCTGCGCAGATCGCGGCGCTGCAAGCCCAGGCGGCGGGCTAGGTGGCGGGGGGGACGGCTGATCAAGGAAAGTCGCGGCCTGCTCGGTCAGCGAGAATCCTGCCAAAACATCCTACCTTTTGTGTTGTGCGTGGGGGGAGTGGTGGCCTTTTGTTTATTGAGTGGTCGTTTGGGGGGTGGGGCTACGACGCGGAGCGGTCCTGGCGGGGGCGCGGGGGGCTGAGCGTCGCGCTCAACTGGTGGCAGGGGCCGGAGCTGCTTGGCGAGACGCACAACGCGTACCACTGGGCGCGGCCGTATCTGCAGGCGCTGCGCTCGCTGACAAGAAGCTCTGTGCGGCGCTCGCCGACACACAGGCAGCCCGCTCCCCGCTCGGGCGTCGCGTTTGCCGCGGGCTGACGGCGCACCACACGGCGGCGCAGGGCAGGATCCAGAAGGGGCCTACCTAGGTGGAAAAAATCCCGGTGTTGTGATCGAGATTTTTCTATCAGGTCACCTCTCAAGAAAACTCACTCACTCAACACTCGCATGGCCACCAAACTAAGTCTAACCAAACTGGCACGGCCTGATGCAGCGGCTGTCCATCGTCTCCACACCGCTGTGGCGTCGCAAACTCGGTGAACGAGCGCGCGGGGAGCGCGGCATCAAGAGAAAGAAGAAAGAAAATAACCAACCGAAGGGAGTTGGCAGCCACTAGAGGGGATTTCAAGCCGAAAGTGTGTTGCTAGCCGCCCCCCCAATCTGTGTCTGGGCTCGCGGGAATCGCGGCCGTCTGCCTCTCCCTATCTCATGTCGCAGTCTCTCGACAATCGCGGAAATGATTCTTTCGCCGATCGACGCTGGACTGGGTGCCGGCTCCTAGCCGGATAGGGGTCTGTTTGTTACCACGGAATCGCGCCAAAACTCGCTACCTAGAGGCTACCTACCTATCCCCAGGGCCGCGCAGCGAAGCAAAAAAAATGGCGAAAACATGGCGAACAGGGGGTACCTGTAGGAAGGTGAAGAACAGTCAGTCTCGAACTGGACACCAGCGTGAATACCTACCTACCTATCTTGGAGCTCGAACCCAGTCTCCTCCTGATGTGGTGACCGACCAGCTGGGGTTGACGCCGGCGGCACCAAGCGACCTCCGCCCTCGACGGTGGGGTTGATCTCAGCCCGTCCTCTCTGTGCGGCCGGTTATGCCGTCGACGCTGCAGGTGCACCCACCAGGCGACCTCAGCCCGTCCTCTCTCTGTGCGGCCGGCTCTCTGGTCCTCGTCGTCGCTGCCACCTCTGCGGCGCTCGGGCTTCGGCTTGAGGGCAAGATAGCGGTGTCTGCGCTGCGGACGGTGTGCCAGCTGCTCGCGCTGGGATCGCTGCTCTACCCAATCTTCTCCTACAACCGACCGTTTGTCGTCATTCCTTACATTGCGTTGATGGTCTGTTTTGCCGCCCGAGAGGCGGCCGCCAAGCCGCAGCACACATACCGTCAGATGGCCGCTCACTTCGGCTTCGCTCTCGCCCTGGCGCTGACCACCTCCTTCGCGCTGTGCGCCGGCCTCATCCTACGGCCGACGCCGTGGTGGGACGCGCAGATCATGATCCCTGTCAGCGGCATGCTGCTCGGCAACGCCATCTCCGCCCTGTCCCTCGGCGTAGACCGGTTCGTCGGTCTGCTGTGCGGCGGCGAGGGCGGGCAAGTGAGGTGCCTCCTCGCGTGCGGCGCTTCGAGGGTCGAGGCGGCGCTGCCCGCAGCGCAGGGCGGCCTGATGACGGGCCTCACTCCCACCCTCAACCAGATGAGTGTCATCGGCCTCGTCTCGATCCCCGGCATGATGACCGGGACGGTGCTCGGGGGCACGCCGCCGCTCGTCGCCGCAAAGTACCAGATGATGATCATGTTTGTCATCCTGTTCACCTCCTCGGCCGCACTCGCCACCTCGATCGCCCTCGCAGCCTCCTCGCTCCTCGACGCTCGCGCCTTTCTCCACCCGCACAGGGCCCAGCGGAGAGCCGGCAGGAAGCACGCGGACATTCTCGTGGCGGCCGCGGCCGCAGTTGCGGGTGTGGCGCGACGGCTCGCGGGGGCGTGCGGGCGGGCTCGGCCCGCCCCTCCGGTGTCCTCCGACGCCGCCCGCTCGCTACTCGGTGAGGCCTCCGCCTCCGGCGGGCCGCCTCCGCTTTCGGCACGAGGCCTCTTCTCACCCCCTCGTGTTGACTCGATCCACTAAAGCCACTGCCGAACTCCCACCCCCCGTTGCCGAGCTCGCGACGTAGGCTGCTTCCGCGAGGCGCCTCTCGCGGCAGGGGCGGAGGCGGCGCTCCTCTCCCTCTCGGATGGCTTCGTCGAGGCCGGCTCGGGGACGCCCCTGGTGGGCGCAGAGAGGCTCTCAACCGCGCGAGATGGCCCGAGAGATGACCCGAGAGATGGCCCGAGAGTAGGTGCGGATGGCCTCGCTCACGGTGAGAAGGGGCGAGGCGCTTGCGCTGCGGGGCCCGTACGACTAGATGGTACGACTAGATGGTACGACCAGACGGTACGACCAGATGGTCCACGCAGC